GTCCTAGATTCCCTGTGTTTCCAATTCCCATCTGTACCGCCGTGCATCATCTGGTCTAGCCAGGTCTGCAAGGCAGAATTGGGGTCCTGGTAGTTGGGAGGAGGAAGCGTTTAAGAACTAGAGGAAGGTTGTCAAAACCCACAAACTTTTGAAGTGTTCTCTTATATTAAATATAAACAGGATATAAATGCATAGTAAAAACAGTTAATATTAACATGAAATACAAAGATTTTCCCAAACTAAATGATCTTTGTAAGCATGAAAAATACATATTAATATTGCCAGTGAATGATAAATTTTAAGTTGAAAAGATAAACTATACATTTAAAGCAAGGTTATATATAACTCTTACCTGTCGTAAAGTACGTGCAACTATGCTTTCTAATACTGGTCCTCTGTCTTCATGCAGCAAATGAACTTCATCAAGAATAAGGAGTTTGACAATTTGGGAAAGAGCTACATCCCCAACACTCTTCCTTGTGACAACATCCCACTTTTCGGGTGTGGTCACAAGCATCTATAATACAAGAAAAACAACGAAATTATATAAAGAAAAAAATCCATATATATAAATTCCAATTATGTTCTAAAAAACATTATCGGCTAACATAATATTGACTGCATCAAGCCGCACAGTTAAAACTATTCAGGTATGATATCTAATTTATTATATACAATGAACCTTTTCAAGAAAACCTTTCTTTTAGCCTGATATTAAGCAACTAACACTTTTCCTTATCAACTATATAGTTATCTGATGTTTTACATTAGTGATGACAGTAAAAGACCTACTATCTGTCTGTCTTGCACATTAATGACATAATGGATTTTGAGATACCAGGTGAGAGTAATGCTGGCTGTGATGGTTAATGTTATATGTCAACTTGGCTGGGTCATAATTTAAGTAGTTTTGGTAGTTGTGTAATGACTTAACTTGGCAGTTATATAATGGTGAAATGTGGTAGTTATAAAATGATATCCTCCAATTTGTGATCATCCTCCACATTCTTTGGAACAAAACCATGTCAATAAGTGAGGAGTGGGTGTACGCTGCTAGCAGTCAGTCGTACTAAGATGGCTTGTATGTTGCTGTGATGCTGGAAGGTATGTCATTGGTATTCCCAATACCAGCAGGGTCACCCAAAGTGCACAGGTTTCAGCAGAGTTCCAGGCTATGAAGAGACTATGAAGAAGGAATAGGTTGCCCATGTCAGAGTAATTAGATGCTAAAAACTTCATGGATAAGTCAGAAAAACACTGTCAGATATAGCACCAGAAAATGAGCTGCTCAGGTCAAAAGGCACTCAGAATAGGACTGGGGAAGACATCTGCCTTCTCAAAGTAGAGTCAACCGTAATGACGTGAATAGAGTAAAGCTTGTGGGCATAAAGCCTTTGGGACTTTCATATGCTAAATAGCATGAGTCAAAAAGAAGAAACACCTGAATAAATCTACTGATAATCAGAACTTGGAAGGTTCTATGAATCTAGGAAAATTGGAATTTGTCAAAAATGAAATGGAATACATAAAGATTGATATCCTAGGTATTCATGAGCTAAAATTGACTGACATTTGTCATTTTAAGTCAGAAAATTGTATGGCTTACTATGCTGGGAATGATACCAACAAGAGCAATCATGTTGCATTCATCACCGAAAAGGATACTTCAAAATCAATCTTTTATTTTTTTAAGTTTTATTGGCACTTCACTTACATGTCATAATATCCAATAATTCAATCATATCAAGAAAAGTTGAATAATTTTCACCACATTCAGTTCTAGAACATTTTCTTCTTCCTTGTACTCATTATTATTCATTTAATTATATTTTCTAATTGTTGGAAAAATATACACAACAAAAATTTCTCCAATTTCTCAGGTTGTACAAGTCACAATCAATCCTGAAGTACAATGCTGTCTATGATAGGATTAACTCTGCCCACCTTCAAGGAAATCCAATTAGTACAACTATTATTCAAATTTACGCACCAACCACTAAAGCTGGAAATTGAAGAATTCTACCAACACCTTCAATTAGAAATTGATCAAAATGCAATCAAGATGCATTGATAATTATTGTCAATTGGAATGTAAAAGTTGGAAACAAAGGAAGAAACATTCATTGGGAAATATCTTTGTTTGTGATAGAAATGAAGCTGGAGATCTCATGACAGAATGTGAGAAACAGAACCGGGAAGAGAGTAAATGCAAACTCTCAAAGCTAATGGGTTAAGGAGTCTTGGGGGCCAGGGCTCCCATGGGAGGGAGACCTTCATGTTCCTGAGTTGGAGATGTGTTCCAGTCACGTTCTCCAAAATAAAAACTATTCCCCTCAATGTCCCCCCATAAAAATGCCAATTTTGAAGTGCTGTTTGCAAGCATATAGTTGCTTACTATACTCTTGAAAGTCAACTGCTGGAAAGCTACCTGCCTAAAGCTTACCTGACATCAAAAGCAGTCAGATCATCTAACTCTAAAAGTATGGGCCACTCCCTTCTGATGAGCATCATAGATTATTTCCTTGGAGAAGAGGGCAGGGGCACTTAAGGTCAAGCCAACTCAAAGACAACCAAGGTAAGGCTGCCATCTTGACTCTAGAGCCCACTCATCTTGTTATGTATGTACCTTCCTGTCACATATATGGCTCTAGCACCTCCCCTTCCTATTGTGTGTATACTTTTAGGTTCACTTGTACTGCTCCTGTTACATATATGTCTTTAATACAACCCCTTCCTGTTACATATGTATCCCTCAATCACACAACCGTCCCCTGGTACCCATTCAGTTATGGACTAGGCTGGTCTCCACAATAGAATTTTGCTAGACCCATGACTTGTTCACAGCAAATAACTCTTTTCAACAACACAGAGACTATAAACATGAACTTCTCCAGCTGGAATACACAAAAATCAAATTGACTACATCTGTGAGAAGAGACCACGGACCAGCTCAATATTAGCAGCTAAAATCAGGCCAGTGGGTGATTGTGAAATAGACCACCAATTGCTCATATGTAAGCTTAGGTTGAAGCTGTGGAAAATTAAAACAAGTCTACAAGAGGCAAAATATGACCTTGAGTCTATCCCACCTGAATATCAAGAACATCTCAAGAACAGATTTGCTGCATTGAATACTAGTGACAGAAGAACTGATGAGCTGTGGAAGGATATCTAGAACATCATTCACAAAGAAAGCAACAGGTAACTAAAAAGACAGGAAGGAAAGAAAGAAAAGATCAAAGTGGATATCTGAATAGAATGTGAAACTTGCTTTTAAGAGAAGCTGAGGCAAATGGAAGAAATGAAGTCAAAGAGCTGAACAGAAAATTTCGGAGGCCAGCGCAAGAAAACAAAGTAAAATATAGGGAATGCTGAATGCCTCAAAGTTAGACAACCAAAAAGGAAGAACACGTGCAGCATACCTTAAACTCAAGAAAAAAAAATTCAAGCTTTGAGTTTGAATGATTTTATGAGCAAAGTATTGAAAAAAATGTATGAAGCACCCAAAGAAGATTGAGTGAGCACACAGTTACTGTACTCAAAAGAATTAGTTAATATGCATTCTACATTTCAGGAAGTAGCATATGAGCAAGAACCAATGGTTCTGAAGCAAGAAGTTCAAGCTGCATTGAAAACATTAGCCAAAAACAAGGCTCCAGGAATTGATGGGATACTAATTGAAATGTTTCAACAAGCTGATGAAGCACTTACTTGTCTATGCCAGGAAATTTGAAAGATAGCTACTTGGCCAACAGACTGGAAGAGATCTATATTCCCAAAGAAAGGTGATCCAATAGAATGTACAAACTTTAGAACAGAATCATTGATATCACATGTTAGTAAAATTTTGCTGAAAACCATCTATCAATAGTTTAAGCAGTACGTTGACAGGGAGCTGCCAGAGGTTTGGGCTGGATGAAGAAGTGGATGTAGAGGAAGGGATATCATTGCTTAAGTCAGAGGGTTCTTGGCTCAAAGCAGAGAACAGTGACAAGATGCTTACTTGTTTTTAATTGACTATGCAAAGGCATTCCACTGTGTAGATCAAAATAAGCTACACTCTTGAGAAGAATGGGAATTCCAGATCACTTCATTGTGCTCATGGGAACCTGTACTCGGACCAAGACGCAGTTGTGCAAACAGAACAAGCAAACGCTACATGGTTTAAAATCAAGAAAGGTGTGAATCCGGGTTATATCTTCTCACCACATTCATTTTGTATACTGAACAAGTAATTATAGAAGCTAAAATACATGAAAAAGAATGCTGCATCAGGACTGGAGGAAGGTTCATGAGCAACCTATGATATGCAGATGACTTATGCATATTGAAAATAAGCAGGATTTGAAGCACTTGCTGATGAAGACCAAGGAATGCAGTCTTCAGTATGGATTACAACTCAATATAAAGAAGATCAAAATCCTCACAACCATACCAATAAAGTACAAGATAAATGAAGACAAGATTAATGAAGTAGTAAAGGGTTTTGCTTTGCTTAGATCTGTAACCCATACTCACGAATGCAACAGTCAAGAAATCAAAGGACAAATTGCATTGGGTAAATCTGCTACACAAGACCTCTTCAGAGTACTGAAAACAAAGCTATTACTTTGCGGACTAAGGCCTGATCCAATCCACAGTATTTTCAGTTGCCTCATCTGTGTAATGAAAGTTGCACACTGAATAAAGAAGACCAAAGAAGAACTGATACATTTGAATTATGATGCTTGTGAAGAATATTAAAAGTACCATGGGCTGCCAAAAGGATTAGTCAACTTGTCTTGGAACAAGCACAGTCCGAGTGCTTTGTAGAGGGAAGGGCTTTGTCTCACTATTTTGGGCACGTTGTCAGGAGAGACCAGGTCCTGGAGAAGGATATCATGCATGGTAAAGCACAGGGGCAGCGGAAAGAGAAGGCCCTCGATGAGATGGATTGATACAGGGGCTTCACCAATTGGTTCAAACATAAGAATGATTATGAGGTTGGAGCAAAGTTGGGTAATATTTTCTTCTATTGTGCATAGGGTTACTATGAATCAGAACTTAATAACAACAATGACAATAACGACGTTTATTTGAAAGGGAACCAAGAAAACAGAGAGTTCAAAGTAAATGAAAGAAACACAAAGAATCCATCCTAGAATAATCACAATTGTTATAACCATCCAAATTTGGAGGGAAATGAGAAAATGCAATACTAAGTAATAAATGTCCTTACATATCAACTAGCATATGCAGTAAGTACTCTATGTGAGAAAGTTATGCTGTTCCTGTTAGGTACCACTGAGTCAATTTTGACCAATAAAAACCATGGGGGAGAGATGAAGTACTCGATAGGGTTTTCTAGACTAATCTTTATGGAAGCAGATCAGCAGGTCTTTCTCTGAGGAGTGCCTGGAGGGGTTTGAACCACCACACTTTTGGTTAGCAGTCAAATGTTGAACTGTTTTGCCATCAATGTAATTTCTTCCCAACCCCTACTCTGCCCCAAAATAATACATTTAGTAAAGCATGACT